CCACACATAAGAGGACCCCATAGCTCCGCAATGGAGTCGACAAAGGTGAGCGCTGTCTTAAACACGCCTACCTGCTCATTGGCCGTGTAAGGAAAGGTGGCCCACTGCCACTGCAAGCGATTCAATATATTCTCATGGGGCAGACGCACGCCTTTGGGCACACCTGTGCTGCCCGAGGTATACAGCACGATGGCAATGTGCTCGTTCCCACCGCGCAACATCTCCTCCGAGAGCAGATTGCCGCCGCTTAGTTGTAACGACTTCGCATACAGTTCAGTCAACGATAGCGTGGGCGTGCCTTGGAAACGCTGAGCATCGATGTCATCATCACGTAKTACTAGAATCGGTCTAGCCTCTAGCAATATGTGATGGACACGATTAGCCGGGAAGCTCGGATCGATGGGCAGATAGGCACCGCCCGCCTTCCAAATGGCTAGTAATGTGGTGACCAGTGCCTCCGATGGCTGCATACAAACGGCCACAATGAAGTCACCATCGCTGTTTGGCTGCAGGAAACGTCCGTGGGCTTCCTCGACGAGTAGGCGTGCGGCACGATTCGCACGCTCGTTCATCTGACGATAGCTGCTCTGGCTGGGTGCCAGGGACTGACCCTGTCCCTGGTGATATATGAGCGCCACCTTATCGGCATGACGCAGTTGCTGCTCTTCGAAGATGCGATGCAGAGCTCGGGGCACGTAATCCTGCTGCTGGCCCTTCACAATCGATAGCTGTGGAAGCGAACCCATATCGATAGCTGCTTATAAAAAAGAGACAACAATTAGGTGACTAAAATTTATAGAATTTACTATATGCATAAGAATAGGCTGAAAAGACAGCGTACATTCAACTCGACTACTAGCTAGGAATGACTACACAAATGACCCAGCACAAAACTTTTTGAAATATTTAAAAATATGTTTTTTTATATTCGAGGGAACTAATTGCTATCATCGTCTGTATCTGTATGATTGTAACTATTGGATTTTCATCTATACTCAGCTATAATTGACTGTGTGCAGGCATTTAATGTATCTTACAACCGTTTTAATTGAGTGCTGGACATCGAATTCAATTTACTACGAGTGAAGTCAATTATAAACTAATTAACAGTAAAACAAATAGATTTAGATAAGTTCCTTATCTCCAGCTGCCATAAAATACGAGTTCGAGCTGTTTAGTGACAATCGTATGCTTACTGTGAATACTAACTAGGTCGGCAGCTTCCGATGTACAGCATAAGCCACAGCTAAGCCACAATCATAAACTATATATATACTACATATATTCGATTATAGTTATATTCTCTCATTATCCTATTACTGTTCATACGAGGATCAGTTCTATTTGAAGTTCCTTTCTTCTTCCAGGAATTCACAGCTCACCTAGATAGTAATTAACGTATTTTCATGTTTAACGGTTAAGGAATAGTATTTAAAATATAATATTTGCATTTTGTTGTTTATGACGTGCAGCAATAGCGCCATGAGCAAACAGAACTCTTAAGTGCTTGTATAAGCTTAACAAATGCAGCTGGATTCGACTGAAATCTATTAGAGCCATTTGCATACCGATAAAATCTAGATTTAATAGATGCAGCGTTTATGAGCTAAATATTCATACAAGGCATATATTTTCATTTACGTTATTGGACTTAATAGCATTTTAGTATTCTGAATCTGAATTTAAAGTGAGTTCTGATCTGAAATAAGAGACTTTTATGGTCGCTTTCAGGAAATTTACCGATCATTTACTATGAGCTAAAGCAGAGTGCTCTTACCCAGGAATCTCGTGAAGTACGGAAAGACTGAGCGTGTGATAAATTAAATGAATAGTTCCAATTCCAAGTGGAATTATTAAATCTCATTTAGCAGACGGTCTTGGTTACTGCCGGAGGTCTTTAAGCTTCGCTTTATTATGTCATTTAATCCAACAGAGTGTCATTGAGCAAACAACTTCTGGTTGTGTACAACCATCCGATTTGCCGATTCTCTGATTCTACAATTCTCTGGCTCCAATGTCATGCATAAAGTGGAAATAGTTTGCGCTATAAAGGCAATTACCCGTCAACTTGTCCTTAGTCTCGCCACATTTCAATTTTAAACGAACTACTAAACCAACAAACGACTCATTAAAGCAGATTAACTGCCGAGTCTTGTCTTGTTTTATGAAATATGTCGCTCAATTACATTGGCATTGCCACAGTCCCTGGCTACAATCCAATTCCGACTACGATCCAAGTCCAGGAAACAAAACTCTTCGCACTGGGTGTCGTCTGCCTTTGGTACAAGTGCATTATGAATTATTTATTCCGTTAATAGGTCCATGATTTTCAGTCGGGCCCAGCTGACAAGTGCAAAGAAAACGCGGCCAATCGCTTCGTTCTAAACAAGTTCCACACGCGATTGTGAAACATTTCTGTAATTATATTTTATTTTTTTATTTTTTATACTCGTTCACGAAAGTGAATCAGTATATTGGTTTTGTGCAATGTCCGTCTTGCTGTCCGTCGTCTGTCCGTCTCTCCGTCCGTCCGTCTGTCCGTCTGTCCGTATGAACGCAATCTATTGGACACTATTGATGGCAGAGACCTCAAATTTTGTATATATACTCGGACTGATCACCCAAGACCAAAAAGTTTTGTCGGATATATGTCCGCCCACAGGGGGCGTGGCAAACCGCAAAAGTTTATATCTCCTAAAGTATAATAGCTAGAAGCTTCAAATTTGGATAGTTGAGTTACTGGTAGCCTCCTCTATCGATTCCCAAAAAAATAATTTTTACGTCTCTTTAGGGGCGTGGCATATCGAAAAATACCCTGTAATTTTCACTTATCTTGAGGGTAGGCATTCAAACTTTGAAGTTAGGGTACCGTTATCTCGTTCTAAAAACTGACCAAAAATGAGGTGTCTACGCCCAGTAGGAGCGTGGCAAATCGGAAAAACCTGTATATTCTACAGTATCAGAGCGAAAGTTAACTACTAAATTGTTGATGGGATGTGAATGAGTATTCCGCAGTCGGTATCGCCCGACTGCAACGTTCTTACTGGTTTTATTTTATTTTTGTTTTTTGCCAAATGCTTGGCATAGCTTTATGCGAGGCGTTTGGTCGAGTCGTTTGGCTAGGCGGCTTGGCATACATTTTTCGACAGCTTTAGGCGCTGTCCACAGTCGTTGTATGGGACGTATAAGTAATATGGCAAGAGGCAAAACTCATTTCCCAAGCGCGCATTACGTATGCCGTGTGCGCCCAATTAGCTGGGCATGCACACACATGCGCAAGCTGAATGAAAACTTTAAACTTGTACATTGTGCATGGCCGTGTGTGTGTGTGTATTCATATGTACGTATATCTGCATACAATGCCGTGCTGTTATCTCTCTATCCGCATCTTTGTCCATTGTCCATTGTTGTGGTCGGAGTAGATCGCTTGCATTCTTGAGTACAAGTTCTTTTCAACTGTTTTACATCTAAACAGAGGAGCATATTTCTTAAACTATGTGTGCGGTGCTGAGCCTCCAGCTAGTAGCAGTTCTTATCACTTTCCTATGCATCAGTAATGCACGAGATGAATCATATTCTTTGTGTTTGGAAAGTATATCAGTATATCAGTTTCACATTTTGAGGCACAAGCTGCAATTTATGGTAGAGATTACAGGGCATCAGGCCGTCTGTCTTGACATGATTTGTGATTAGTTGGTAGCTGCTGGTGGCTTTTCACATCATCGATTTAATGTACCGCATCGCATCGCTGCTTCTGTTGATGAGGTGAAACCCAGCAATTGCCATAAAGCTATTAATGCTCTATTCTGTGCAGCTTTGTGCTGCCCGATCCAACGATCAAGCAGCGTTTAGATAGACATCGTATATCGTCTAATATTGCTTATATGTACATATGTATGTGTGTATATTACTTAGAAGTTAAGCTTTATAATTTTCCGCCCAAGGTTGCATTTAACTTTGATTGTTTTCATTATATTCTTTTTTGCTCTTTTGTGATTTCTTTGAGGCTTTTGGAAAATCGTTCCATAATTATCAGCGTGCCATGTAATTTGTAATTTGTAATTTACATAATTGCCAACAGAATTGATACTTGGCTAAGGCGCTAGGTGACTGGGCAGCTTTTCTGTGGATCAACAACATTGGATAAGGTCACCAAATTCTGGTCTGAATTTGGTTTCCGTTGTATGGTTAATTCGAGTCAAACTAATTAAGCCGCCCGATCTGCAGCCATATCTCGTAATCGCAATCGTAACCAAAATCATATCATTGTTTGTATCGGCTCTTGTTGCTGCTGCGACTGTTGATTTGCTTAATTGAGTAAAAAGTGTCCAATTTGCGGCCTGGCAGGGTGCACTGCCTCGCCTGACCTAGGTCTGCTTAACCACCATCACGAGAAGCGACCCTCTCACATTGTGGGTTTTTTTTTCTTTTTTTTTTTTAGAATTTCCGATTGTGAGTCAATTGAATGACAACCAACAATTGAGTGAGCGTGTGTGAGTGACTGTGTGACAAATACGTGCTGAGATTTTCAGCATACAAATGCGATCTAACAAATAAGAACGACTGCTCAATACATGTTCATGGTCAAAGCACATTTATGAGGAGTTATCAGCTTAACACTCTTGGAAACATTTTTAAGAAGGTCGCACAAGCATTCATCTCAGCCAGCATTCAAATGTTTATGTTTATGTAGTCTGAAACATTTGGTATCTGTCTTGGCTGAGATAATGCTTAAAAAATGCATTCTAAATTTGAAAAAAAAAAAAAAAAAATGTTTTTCAACGGTCAGACAGATAGACAGTCGATACAGACATCATTAAAAAAACTAACAAATCGTTTCGCAAGTTCATTACAGCAGAAGCAAAAGCCCCTCCTAAGCAAGTGTCCAACTGGGTAGATCTTATTTAAGACTAATATCAATGCAAGACTTAAGCATATATTAATTTTTCACAATTAATGGTCGACTGCAAATGACTCAATTTTAATTTGCAGTGCGCACAGCTCGAATGCAATTAAAAAGCCATCAAAGCAGGCGAACAAAGTACGCTGATTATGTATACGCGGCGTCGGACGAGCGATCGCTTGACACAAATTAAATGTCAATTGCGCGGATAACATAAATCATAATACCGATCGCTGTCTAATTCGACAAAGCCGTTTTCCTAATTGTTTGCATGCTGAGCATGCAGACCAGTCGTAGAAGTGCTGCCAAAAGTTGTTGCAACTCGTTTGGCCATTCCACTTAAGTTTCTAATGCTCTGATTGAATTTGTTATTAGTACACAGCGGATACCCTTTTTCAGGGCACTATGATTTTGTCACAATTCGAGTGTGTACATAATAAATGTTAATGGCCTAATAGCGAACGTGTTAATTTGTGCTTCGGGGATTCAGTTGGGGCTTCAAAGAAATTTCGCCCATATGTCTGAAAGGTATTTAATGTTCGTTTAGACAAATTTGGTCTCAGCTATCTTTTAGCTATTAACTTTTCATGACATGTTGGCATTGCATTCAACTGCAACGGTTGCCAGCAAATTGTTAATTGAAGTTTATTTTCCGTAGGCCTCGCCTCGAGTTGTGTTTGCCTTTTGCATTTGACACAAGCATTTTGAAAAGAATGCGCTTATATACCCTGCATTGTCGTCAGTCGACTTTCCTTTTATACTCAGTCAATTACGAAACACTTTCTGGCATGCAGTTCCTCAATTTTCGCCTCAGTTCGAGTTACCTAGTCATAGAAATTGCATTAATAATAATAATAATAATTAAAATTTTAAATACTTTTTGGCTTTTATTGCATCGAACTAAAATCAATAGAGTCCGTTACGCTTAGTCGAAAATTAGTTGCTATATCAATTCGTTTAGAATTTTCAAATCAGAATAAATAACCTGATCTCACGAATATTTAATTGCGACTTTATATTACCTAATCGTTTGTTGAGCTAGTGCAATGAACCAAATATGCAAATTGAAAATACTTGGCTTGCGTTCTTTGTATATTTAATGGCATTTCGGGACCCGTTACTCAAGAAAATGTTTGAAATTTGAATCGATTTTCGATGAATATTGGTCACTTATATTTTGTAAAATTACACTTTATGAATATAAGCACCTCTATAAATTCTTTCTGTTAAGATCAATATGGTCCGTGTAATTCATTTAATTAAATTTTCATGGCTTATAAATTTTGATTTTTTTAGACGTTTCTAATGAGTATCTCGTAGTAGAGCTGTGCAATTTGAATTTCACTTATGGCGAGCTTAATTATTATTTTTTAAATAGCTAAATGAGATTGGCGGCAGTCAGCGATCAGCGAGGGTATTAGGGGCTTGGCTAATTTGATGAGCTGTTGCCCATCATGTTGGGCTTTATTAAATATTACGTATACGTACTTTTAGTTACTCAAATTTATGATTGTTTATTGTATTCAAGTTTTTCTCTTGTTGTCGATGGTTCCGTTTTCTATTAATTCTTAGCACGCTTCAATTTTCCGAGTTAGTTTTTTCCAAAAATTTGCAATACGTTTGTTTGTAATTTAAAATTTTTGATCTTTAATAATTTGTTTTTTGTTTTGTTTTTTTTTTTTTTGGGGGGGGGTTTCCAGCACTTGGCTCACACTGCACATGCGATTCACTATGCTTTTAAAGGCAGCCCAAAAGATAAACTTGGGTTTTTTTCTTTTTCGATTTCAACGTACTACGGAACTCGAAAGCGGCGTTTGCAGACTAATCAGAATAACAGCGCTCGCTTAACTTTTATATGCCGCAGAATCGAGTATGCAATCAGCAGCGCAGTCGGCGCTAGCGTCGTCGCCGTCGTTGACGCCGATGCTGGCTTTGCTCTTGCTCGTTGGCTCGGCTGAAACTAAAACCAGTTCCTGCTCTTCGAGCACCTGCAGTTGCCTTTCGCAGATCGTATACTAAATATAAATGTATATGCATTCGTATATACTCGTATATAAACGAGGGTGTGCATATATACATATATATATACTGATGTGTCTGTGGTTGTGTGTTTTGTTTGTTTGTTTGTTTTGATTTTTGTTACAGCTGAAACGCCTTTTTACGTTAGTTTCGCTTAATTGAGTCGAGTTCAGTGACGTAGGAAATGAAACGAGTGAATTCCTGGCAATGAAAAACGCTAATTTAGTACACACGCACACAGACACACACACAGACGCAAATAAGTGTACTTGATATGGCTAGATTGATTTGTTAGAAAGCTTGGAAATCCCTTGGAGGCAAAGCCGCGAAATATGACGCATAATATTTATGGCAAATAAAAAGTACGAAAACAACATAGGGTATCCAATTCAAAGAAACTACTTATTGGTTCTAGCATTTGTGAAATTGTTGATCGCCAATTAAAAACAAGTCAGATGTTCTATGGGGTTGTGCTTAGCTGGCAGATACCCTAGAGTCTACGGAAATAACAGACTCAGACTCTTGGAGCATTTGTGTTAATAGGATAGGATAGTCCTTGTCACCAATCAATTTTGATCTAGGAACGTATGAAATATACGATAATAAATGTACATAGTAATAATAATAATAATAAATTCTTAAGTACTTCCTTGCTCATCATTCCTTCGCTCTGTACGATAGCTGCCAGGGTATTGACATCTTGAATTCCATTCGAATATTGAATGAAATTTCAAATTGTGAACTGGAATTGTCGGCGCGCGCCTTTCTGGGGGAATTTTCATTTACGATGCTTGCAATTTGCAGTTCGTATTTGTAAGTAGTTGCCGTTCAGATAATATAGTAGAATATCGTAGTATTAACATGGATTAGGTGAATGTTTTAAACATATTCCTACACCAGTTGACCTTATGTCCGGATCTCTTATTATTCGGTGCATTATTACATGTGAGAATAGTGTGAAAAATTAGATGCCGCATCAAATGAGCTGACTTCACATAGATCATAAATTATGGCATATGCATATGTATGGCACATTATAAATCTATAAATAATACATGTATATGTATATATAATAAATACATCCATATTCAAGAAAATCCAATCGAAGACAAACGAATAACTATAAATATGTGTGTTGCATTTGCATAGACTCTTGATTCATTAGTTATCCGAGATTGATCTGATGTGCTTTGATTTGATGCGATTCGTTTCGGATATATGTATATACATATTATATTATTATTCTTGATAAGTTAAATCTTATGTATATATATTATACACATATTCCGACGACGTATTCTGCGTTAATTTGATCACAAACTCAGGCAGATTGAATTTCTGAAGTTGGCACAGAATATCTGCAGGTTGGTCCGTTACGATCGTAGTGCTGTTGAATATGATTTAATTAAATGAAATTATTATTGATCGATTGATATTGTTATCTAATTACCATGTTACACAGCAAAGACCATTTGCATAATATGTATTTCCTCACATCATTCGGCTTAGCTTGCTTCTTGTAGGTTAAAATAAGCCAACTACTAATAAAAATAAAAAATATTCTAATACATAACAATTGTAAAAACAATTAAAAAAAAAAAATAAAATAAAAAAATCACTAATAGTGTAATTGCTTGCAATTATAAAATTTCCAGTTCAGTTTATTGGCCATAAAACTCTGTGAATTTTTTATACATTTGTGCTAACAAATATGCGCTTCCTTTAATAGTTTGAATAAATTGCATTTGGAAAGCAATTACGATTTATTGCCACCTTTGTTTTACGAGAATAGGATATAGTTGTTAAATAGCAGTCGGACTTATAAATGGCTCTAGCCTTCGGCCTGCTTCTCATTGGATACGCGCGGGAGAGTGTGAGTCTGGTTCTTCCTCTTCAGCTGGCTCATTTCGATGGGCTTCAGTGATTTTAGACCATCCATGTTACGAAATGTATTAAGCAATTTGTATAATAACTATATTGTATTTGTTCCGAGTTCCTGCCTATTACAAATTGGTTCGAGCTAACTACTTACATTTTAACTTCCTCAACTAATTATTTGTTTCATTGAATATTTTGCCACCTAATTTAATGTTTATATATAATATTTATTTTGTTCTGGAATTTTTAGGCTTTTCCACTTTGGCAAGGTTTTGTTGGTTCGCTTTGCGAAAGGTTTCTTCTGCTTGTCAGTTACCGGTTAATCATTAATTTGTAAATCAATTCATTGTTAATACGACACAAAAGTAACGTGCGTGTCCAGAATCGGGGTAACCGCCTCGAATAGTCCATAAACAACATCTAATTCCAGTTTGATCATAATCTGGTTCGCTCGTGACAAAGTCACGTTTCTCGACTCTCCGACTTCGTCTGGAGTTCCCCAAAGAAAGTGACGCATTTGTTTTTATATTTTTTTTGCGATAGTTCCACGAATTTTTATAATCTTCTTCTTCATCTTTGTTATTATGTGATTTTTTTATAGCGGACAGTTTAGTGACGTATTGAGTGATGAAACAGAACAACTTGTTTCGAATGTTCCTCCCAAGTGTTTCCCTGAGCAAAGTGAGTTCCAATTATAGTAACATCAACAACATCAACAGTAACAAAAACAGCCGTAATGAAACATGACATGAAACATTTACAGCTAAAGATCAAATGCAGGTAAGCCACGGTTTTGAATACTCTTACGAAGACCTTGCTGATTTCATTGTGATCTTTGGCACATCGCCTCAAGTCAAATCAGGGTATGGCAAGCTCGTCAGTCTCAGTGATAACTGTTCTTTTAAGTTTTTATTTACACAAGCATTTCGACGGTGTTAAACGCCAAACGGCCGAGCCGAGCTGGTTTTGTGTTTGGCTATTGTCTTTGTTGTTGCCCGTGCCAAATTCGAATTGTTTTGATTAGCTGCACATATCACGCATACGTCATGTTGAACAACAACAGCATTGACAGTGACAATGACAGTTTCTTTTGGGATATCTAAATCTTCATACACATGAGAATTATCTATTGTACGTACGACAATATATATTTATATGTGTATCCATACGTATGCGGGCGCCATGACCGTCAGCATTGACTACGATTACTTGCAAGAATTCGCAGATATATATTATTGATTCTCATACCCTAAGATAAATCTACACTGAACTAGATTAAAATGCTTTGTGGCTGGCGACAGAGGAATTAAATATAGCACAAGAGAGGGATAGGTGAAGGTGATTTAGATAGAGTTAAATAGAGACTAAACGCGGCTTGACTTTGAGTGTGGTAATAATTTTGAGCTATTCATTAAAGTCTAAAGCCTAATATTTACAGTGAGAGAGTTCCTTTAAGGCGGTCGTTCAATTGGATTTTAGGTGACACAGCTTTGGCTAAGGGTACCTGTCAGTCGTTCACGCCCGCCTCGAGCATGCTGAATTGTTTGTTTTGGGCGGCTTGCGGAAGTGTTGTAGCTGCCGACTTGCTGTTGCGCCATCGAAATGGTAGATTGATCGAATCGTTCGATCGACTTTAGCGACATGTAGGTACTTGTACATGTAGGTGCAATTAAATTATCATTAAATTCGCACTAGGGCCTTAGTCTGGTTGTAATTAATGTGGGGCGGGCAGAATCGCATAATTCAATTGCAATTTACTTTAGTCGAGCGTTAAGCAGGTGCACCAGCTGTTGTTGCTCAACTACTTAATGGCTGCTCCCCATACAACTTTCAATGCGATCTATGCAAAACTGTCACTAAATGTTAATGAAGTAATTAAAATGCCCCAATCCGAACTCTATCTATATCTTATCTTATATGTATATAGTTCATAACTTCACACAGAGTAATTCCTTGGGTATGGCATGCTTCTGTGGAACAGGTTCGATAACATTTGCAAATCGACTTAGTAGAGCTCTAATAGCAGTCGCTATCGTTTAATCACTTTCTCAACTATGCCACGCCCCACCCCGCCCGGCTCTCTATTTGCTGTCTTTTATATCCGATAAGTCTGGTGGGCTATAAATGACTTAATATAGCATTTGTGCTACTTTATCTTAATAATTTATAGTTTTACCCGATTTGTTACGCCTTTGTATTGAGTTTATTTATTTATTTTTTTCTTCTAAGTGGATCTAAAATTGATTTATTGTGCTTTGCATTATATATAAATGTATGCCATAAATACATTTATATTTTTAATCAGAGAGAGTGAGTAAATGCTCCATCTTGAATATCCTGTTCTTAGTGTCAAATGCATGCCGGCCATATATGTTTTACTTTAAGCTCGTCTCTAATGTATGTATGTAATTTAATTTATCATTCATTTACTATGCAAATATAACATCTTAGATATCAAATCATAGCAGCCTGCCAATTCAAAGTCCATGATTGATTGCCTGTCAGCAGCCACGTATAAAAAGCATGAAACACCCAGTAATCCACACACATTTTGTTGAGGCTCTTTTCTTATTGCCTGAACCTTTCCCTTGCAATACAAAGGCATTCGATTATACTGCGTATCACGCTCAATTAGCGCAACGTTTCCTTGCACTCCATTCACAAAAGCTCGGACGGCGCAGAACGGAACAGAACACTGTGGCAACAGTGCGGCTCAGAAAATATGTAAGAAAATGTTCGTGTGATCGAATTATACACCAGTTGTTATTCAGATAAAGCCAATTATACTGACTAATGAGAACCCCTAGTAGAGATACTATGAAGCCAAAAAGATATAAAAACATTGTATTAAAAATATAGTTTTGTACTTGCTAAGTAAATAATCAAGAAGCAAAAAAGCTCTTGATGTAGTTATAGATTTGCCTGACACTGTCGGTCGAGCGGATGGTTCCTACTTGTTGGCCACCTCCTTCCACTGGACAAGGGCGCGCTGCTCGTCTGGTGCATCCCGGAAAGGTCGACTGCCATCGGAGCTAACAAACTCGTTCACCTGGTAATTGAGCAACGTCTTATACTGATTTACAGTGGCCAGCTGCTGCGTCAGTGGGCTGGTGTTGGTGGTAAAGATGCCGGCGAAATTTTTATTGCGTGCCACGTTTAGCACCTCGTTCTCCATGAAGTGAATGCAAGCAATATTCTCGCGCGGATTCAGATGCTCGGCGGTGCCCATCATGCCCGAGCGTAGGATTTGATTCACACCCTTGGGCAAATAGTTGTCTCTTAAAATGCATTGCAAGAGGTTATTTCGGAGCTGCGACTAACAGTAGGTATTTTATGGTACCGTATGGGTCCTTCGCAGAATTCTATAAGCTCGAAGACTGTTGCCAGATCAGACTTGATTTCCACCACGGGCCCAGCGCGAGCATCATAGTTGAGCGCGGTGCCGATGATACGTTCCGTATTTCGATCGTATACCACAAAGCTCAATTCACGTTCTACCAGGACGCTCCACATTTCCTGCAAAGGATTAATGAATAATTAACTGAAGCTTTCGTATATTACTCTTAACTTGCATCGAGTAGATCACTGTAATCTGTGGACAAAGCACCAGGCTTTAGCCATTGCTCCAGATCACCTTTGTTGTGGAAACTGGATACAATAATGCTGCCGACGAAAAGATTAGCATTGATTTTCACACTCAGTTCACTCAACCAACCACTCACTCACTCACAGGCTGATGATGCTCTTCTTGCAGCAGCACCGCCTCCATTTGAAGGTGCGGGCATGCATTGAGCGTCTCCTCTTCCAGTTGTACTGCGTCATGGTTGCTAGCCATCTTTTCGATGATCTCTCCCAGATTTTTCGCCGCTATGAAATCAGAGATTCCAATTTTGTAGCCTTTCTCCCTCAGTAGGGTGACGGTAAAGATGGAGTTGAGTGAATTGCCACCCAGCTCGTAGAAGTTGCTATGAGCTGAGAGCGTTGCTCGCCTAGAACGTCCAATGACAGTGCTCACGGTTTCAAAGAGGTCACGAGCCGTCAATTTTAGCTCCTCGGGAACGTGACTGTAGTCAAAGTCGGGAACACTAGCCGAGCCTCCTTGATCGTTATTAGCCGTCTCATAGGCTTTTAGCAGGGCCTGGCGATCCACCTTGCCATTAACCAAGAGCGGCACATGCTCCATAATGATCACCTGTGGTGTCATATAATCAGCCAACTTATCCTTGAGCCTGCCTTCCAGTTGCATCTCAGTGACCACAGGTGAATCATCGCGCAGCTTGACAAAGGCGAGGATGGCCTGATCCACATGTCCGGCCCGATAGCAAAGTACTATGGCCTTCTCTACCAGTGGCAGCTCGGCCACGATCTTCTCCACCTCAGACAAATCGACCCGATGCCCGCGTATCTTCACTTGCGAGTCAGTGCGTCCTTCATACATGATATTCCCATTCTTCAGCGAGCCATAATCACCGGTACGATACAGACGCGCATATTCTGTAAAGCTGATTGATTAGAAATTCATTCAGCAGGATGTTTCAAATGTCCCACTTACTCTTCTCCACAGCTAACGGATTCTCGAGGAAGCGTTCCGGATCACGACCATTCACATAACCCGCAGCCAGATTCAAACCTGAAGCAAAGATTTCGCCTATTTCTCCATTTTTGACCGGACGATAGTCCGCATCCAGCAGATAGATAACAGTGTTTGATACGGGTACGCCTGGGGAAATATAGATACATAAGCACAGAAAAAGTAAGAGGACAGAAAGAGAGTGGAGAGCTCACCTATGGGCACATTGTCGTACATGCTAAGCTGCTTCTTGCTCTCGCAGGCGAAGTAGGTCACATCGCCCATCACCTCGGTGGAGCCGTAGAAGTTGTACAGTCTGTG